ATAGAAAATTTGTTGCCAGTCATCGCAGCAAGTTCATCCTGAGGTCAGGTTGTGCAGTTCTCTTAGTTTAAAAAAAACTCAAGAGCTACAGTCTCCAGGGCTCTGTCAACATGTTCATTGGTCAAGTTCATGACAGAGCAGTTAGAGACAGAAGAGGTTTGTCTTAAGGCCCTGTCACACTATAACATTTTAGACAACTTATGAAACATTTGTACAACACTGAAGATGTCTAAGTTGATGATGACTGGAAGCCTCTTTTGGACCTATACATACTGTAATGCTAACAACTGATAGAATATGTAGCCAATATGAGTAAAACAATCATAACAAAATGTTCATAAGTCGGCATAAGTTGTCCAAAACATTATGTTGTGACAGGGCCTTTTATTTTGAAGGGTTGCCAGTAGAAACTCTCTTACCTAAAAAAAAATAAAAAAACAACAAAAAGGCCAACAACATGGTTTAAGTTTAAAGTTGTATTTGACTAAACTGTTATGGCAAAAACACAACCCACTGTTCTGATGTGGAAAAAAGTGAACCTGGGAAACCCCGCTTGTATATTTATGACCAAGCAAAGCTTCTGACGTTCCCACCACCAGCGTTTGATACTAAGATGACCATAAAAAAGATGAATATTTGTATGCTTCCTGTTTATCAGCACAGTTGTGACCTCAAAGGTACCAGCTGTCAGTGAAGGACCATTTTAGTCCATTATCGAGCAGACAGTTGAATCAGTACGAGGACAGTATGATCTCRGCTTCAAATACCTCGTCAGACCTTATCTTTTACAATACAAATAATAAGATTAAAGAAACAATGCTCCTTTAGGAAAACAAGAACAAATGGGAGATTTTAGGGCACCATAACCAGTTCTGAAAATCTGCAAACACAAACATTTCAGCTGTAGGGCACGGCAGTGGAGGGCAGATTATTGTGGTTTGTTGTCATTTTAGCTGCTGAATATTGGAGTCCTTTTTACAGTTTCTGCACTTTAGCTTTTTTTTTTTWAATAAATACTTTCACAGTGTGACCGACATGTCATGGTATGTTAGTTTATGTGAGTCATACCCTGATTACAGATGGGGCTGCTCAGCACTGATGCTAACGGGCTCAGAAGGGATGAATTCAGTTTGGAGTGTAACCTGCATCGTTACTTTTTTCCTTTCTTTTAAGTCAAACTGATATTTATTAGATCATGAGGATGAACCCCTCCTCCCATCATTACCCTGGTACACGAGTGATACACTCTTAAAGCAGATGTGTTAATATCTGCTTTAAGAGTAGCAGACTTATGTGTTTTGACACAAACTGTGTCAAAACTCAAAACAACAATTGTGTCTACATAAGGACAACACATTTTGTGTTCAATTGAACACATTTATTTTGTTGATAATTTGAACACAATTGCTGTGTTAAAATTATTAACACACTGTGTTTCTTTAACACAGGTATTCTGTTAATAATTGTAACACAGCAGTTGTGTTTAATAATTAGCACAATAAATGTGTTGTATCGAACACAAACTGTGTTGTCCTTATATAGAAACATTTTTTTGTAAAAACGTGTTAAATGTGGTAATTAGATTAAAGAAAGGAACTCCTGTTGTAGAAAAATAAACATTTATTGTAAACTTTTAACATTACAATTGACAAAAACAATCACATAGCATATTAAGTTCATATACTCAATTTGCTAAACCATTAAAAAAATTAATACATCTTTAAATTGTTTTACAGTTTAAACTTTCTTTGCCTTTAAAATAAACTTAATCTTTTWAACTTTTCTTTAAACAAAACCTATTCATCTCATTTCACAAAATACATTTTAAGCATAAACTATAAAACTCATTTAGGTTCTTAATACATCACATTAGCATTTCCTTAATGACACATTTTAGAGCATCTTTGACAATTTTGTACCTGGAATTCAAGTATAATCTGTCTCCTTGTATACTTTAATCAGCCACACAGTACACACTTCCTAGATTTTCATAGAACTGTTGTAATAATTCCTAGTTTGTCTAAAGAATGGTTTACTTGACTTCTAGTTACTTTTAGCCACTGACCCAAGTTTGCATCTAAAAAATGAAATAGTGCTAACATTCACGAGTTGGTGCTCCACATACAGTGTTGCTTAGTTCTCTTTGTAATGACTGAGTATCTACAATACATTTCCAATGATTACTCTGTAATTCAGAATGCTATTTTAATTGCCACACAATTCTAGATAAATCAAGGATTTACAAAAACTGCAAGGCATGTTTCATAAAAGTGCACACGCTTTGGCAGGTGGATTCCTCGTTGAATACTGGTTAGCTTTGATCGTTTTCTGCTTCTTGCGATGCCTCCCACATGATACAGCTGGCTGATTGTCGCCGTGAATGGAGATGCTTGCATGGGATCTGCCCCATAGGATCTGATGGCAGATGCTCTTCTTCTGTGCGGCGTCATTAGTGCTGGCTTTGTTTCCAGGAACAGTGGTGGCTCACACAGTGCCATGCAAAGGAGCTGTCATTAGCCTTTTGATACTCTGAAAGTGAGCCTTATTAAGACAGTTGGGTTTCTTTGCTTGCATTTCATGCGGCTCTCATCTTGAAAAATAACTTCACCACCACTCAGTGTGGACACGCAGCGATTGAAGCCAATCTGTTTCCCGCTTGTTTGCAACAATATATTATTTAGATTATATAAAGGTTAAATGAGTTGTAGCGGCACACACAGGTGTAATCAAAATATAGTTTCCTGTTTACAAAAGTCATATGGTAGACAATACTTTTTCCTCATGGCAAGGAAACGGTTCTGTTTTGTTTCATAATGTCAGGAAGCGCACTGGATTAAGTTAATATGTGCTATGCAAAATATAAATACCACCTTGCCTCATTACACCGCTCACAGGGACCTGCTAGTATTGGCTCGTGAAATTTAATGGCTGGTGTCGCATTACACACGGGCCACAGCGCAAGCTCGTTGGCCGTGAACATAATGGCGTGATTGCTCTCCGACTTACTCTGAATGATGAAACAGGTCAAAGTGTTGTGCAGCGCTTAACTGACGAGCCGGCTGTGTCTGTTCCATCCGAGGGATTTATTTCAAACCAGATCACACTCTTGTTTGGGCTGTTCACTCTAGTTTGGAGCAATAAATATTTGTGTCGCAAACATAAATTGGGATAAAACATCTGCAGAGGTAATTAACACGCAAGAAAAGACAGAAAAAGATGGAGGTGAGATTATGTGTCCACACAGGATGCACTCAGACAGCACGACCTGCAAACCTGTAGCCTTAATGTTATACTCTTAAAATAGTATTTATTGCCCATCATCATAAATGACAGGGAGTCATGTCATTGATCAGGTTTTGGTTTCTCAATGGTCGTGTTTGTTAGCAAAAAATCTCACAAACCACAGAATGGTAAGAGTTATGAGTAAAGATTTTGGACTGCTTCATTGGGATAACAGTGACAGTTATTGTGTTATTACTTTTATCTGTTTACTTTGAAATTAAAAGCTCATCCGGAGGATGATAAATTTGTTTGACATCAGATTGCTTATCAGTCTCCCACCTCATTAATCCTGTTGTCAAATATCTAATTCAAGGACAAATAAAGACCTAGATATTCTCTGTGTACACAATGAATAATTCTTTATCAGGTAATGTATAACTTAGAGGAGCTCTTTACTATAGAATGTTAATGCTAACAGATAGATCAGCTTTAAATTGTTGTGAAGAAKGAGCAAGTGAGATTTCCATAAATAAATATAACCAAACCATTTAATTTCCTTTGAATCTCCTCAGGCTAATTTTGGCTGCTAATAGAGATGAGTTTTACAACAGACCGTCCAAGGCTGCAGATTTCTGGGGGCCCAACAATGACATCCTCAGTGGTAAGTTGGAACATCTGTTATTCACTTCTCCTCMCCACACATCTATCCATACATCTTCCACTTCTTCCAGAGTTGAGACAGAATCCTGAGGTCACCAAACTGGTCTCCATCTGCCCCCTGGCTGCATCAAGAAATTCTATATAAAGGTTATGAACAGAATCGGTGACAACAGGCAGCTCTGACTGAGCCCAACWMCCACCCTGAAGGGGTCTGACTTAATGCTGGCAATTTGAACCAAACCATTGCACTGCTTGTAAAGGGACTAAATGGCCCATTTCAACAGACCCCCAATCCAATACTTTCTAAGCAACCCCCACGCGGTCAAATGCCTTCTCCAAATCCACAAAAACACATTTAGACTGGATGGACAAACTCCCATGGCCCCTCAAGGACCCTAGTGAGGGTAAAGACCTGGTCCAGTGTTCCAGGGCTGGTTTACCTATATTTATTAGCAGTAAAATAAATGTACATCCATGTAGGAGATGTTTTATGCAATTCAGTTCCACTAAAACTTGATATGAAGCTTGAATGAGGTTCCAACACGACATTTTAATGACTCTTTTATAGTAATGTTTGACTGCCTTAAAGATTCAAGTTTTAAATAGGTTTTCAAAATCAAGAAAAATCTGTCTCTTTCACCTCCAAATCCAATTCTCATCCAATCTGTCACACAACATCCCCACCCACAGTAAACTAAACCATTTTTAATTTACGGGTTCCCAGTTCACATTATAGCCAAGCAGAGGAAATCAATCATTTGTTGTTGCTGTTGTTTTACCTTTTTCTTCCTGCTGGAGAAGGAAACGCAGATGTAGCCTAGTTGTTCATCAGTCTCCTCTCGCCTCTGTAATAGAGGGGTCAGGACTCCACTAGTGGGTCCATAATTGATGGCTGTTTTTATGTGATGTGACAGGAATAAATGGCCCTGCCTTATCTGTAGGGCTGATGCGAGGTGGGGGAGCCAGTCGTGGTGGTGGAGGGCAGCAGCAGGACCCTGAAGGAGACATGGCCTGATGAGAAGGGAAGTTAGCAATAGCTCCCTGTGGGATCAGTGTAGCTTTCTGTCCACCTCCTCAGGAACATGACCATCTAGAAGAAGACATGCTTTAACTGATCACCAGGAAGAGCTCGAGACATGCCAAGWTGAATCATTTAATAATGAACCTACTTATTTTCATCCCTGTGAACATTTCACCTTAAGGGGAAGGGTGGGGGGGTGTATTTTCTAGACACATAGTTCAATTCTATACCACAATCAAGTAACTATGTCACCTTCAGTTGTTATGAAAATGCTGTATTTATCAAAAATAAATTTGASTTTGTATTATAGTCTATCTACAAATGCCTTGAAATTGGCCTCTGTCTCTGTTAGAACCTCCTACCATTTCAGACACTCCCAGTCCAGCATGTTTTCATAACAGTGCTTCAGGGGAGGGGTGCTCTGTGCTCTTCTGCAGACTGAGCTCCAGGGAGGAGCTTTGTACAAATAGGTGGTGCTTTGTACCAGCAAGTGTTTAGGCAGCTCCACATGACTTCCAGAGGAGATTCAAGGATTTCTCAAACATGAATGGATGAGTCAGAGCAACACTCTGGGTATGTTTTTGATGAGGGAATGACATTATAGCATAATGAAGCTGATTTTTGCATAACCCCTCTCCCCCACCCCCTTTAAAGAAGCTCGCGCTGTACTGCAGATGGGGAAATAAAATGTTGTGGTTCTTGTTCAGAAACAACCCAGGCCCCATCTGACATGAAAAGAAAGATAAAAATAGGTTCCTGATAGGAAATGGTGTATTTTTCATGTGTCCTCAAAAATTCACAATTTGCAATAGTTAATTTTGCTGATGAAAGACATTGAGGGACAGCTGTTAGTACACCGAAGTAAAGATGTTAGCCTTTTTTTTTTTTTTGTTATGTCCATGAACTCTGGCATCCATTTAAGCTGCATTTGTTAAACATGACTGTGCATTTGCTCACCAGGTCTGGACCTGGAGTGTGGGAAGGAAGGTGGATCCTGGCTGGGGATCAGCAAGAAAGGCAAGCTGGCTGCGATCACCAACTACTTGGAAGGACATCCTAACTCCGATGCACAAGGAAGAGGTAAAGCAGAATAAATGTCTTTTTCAGGTTGGACAGCTGTGATGATCAAATCTTTTGTGTTCATTTCGCCTAAATGTTCTGTTAACATTTCAACTTAGGAATAACATTTTTGCTCAGTTTTATCTTCTGCTATCTGCAGGATTTCTAGTGTCCAACTTCCTCATGGATAAGGATGTAGACAGCTACTCCTACATGAAGAAGGTGTCTGCAGATGGCYACTTGTACAACGGCTTCAATCTCATCACTGCTGAGTTCAAGTGAGTGATATTACCTTCAGATAATGCTGTAAATGGTGATTTAAAACAAAAGTTGTTATATTTGTGAGTAATTTTAATGGATGCATTTAGTCCCCTGAAGGTTGTAGAATTGGTCTCGTGTACCTTTTAGACATTTTTAAGCATTTTAACTCAGGCACGCTGGCTGAGATTCTTCACTACTTTAAAAACATTTTTGTTTGTTTGTCTAACCTGAATTGATAGAATTTACTTTGAAGAATTGTGGAATTCACTTTTAGTATTTTTTTTAGTATTTTTTAAATCTAGATAGTTATCAGAAAAGGACATACAATTTTTAAATCAATATGTGTTTCCAGACTTTGTTCTTTTTGTTAATTTTTTTAAGAAAAATCAATCTAATTTTCAAAATGAAATTCTCCACATATGCCAAACACTTTTTAAATTCAAAGATGGAAGCATTCAGCACCCTTCAGCTGTATGTAAAGCACTTTGACTTTAGCTGAGTTTAAAGGAATGCCATGAGTACAAATCATTTATATAACATGTACWGTATGAAACTCGCTAGGTCCAAGTTAGCTAATCCCTAAAACAAACACAGTTTTTATTTTCCTCTAAAATGCAATAGTTGTAGAACTTGAACAATGGGATTAAAACCATAAAYCCTGTGTGTGAAGTGTTTGTGTGTCTGCTTGTGCTAAAATATCTTATTTTTTAACAAATCTTGAAGAAAGTTATCAATGGAGCAACAGTGGCTCAGATGGTAGAGGTTTGTCCTGTTATCGGTGRGTTGCTGGTTCAAACCCTTGCTCTGTCTGTCTCAGTTGTTGTGTCGTTGGGCAAGACACTTCACCCTCCTAGGGTTGGGCAATATTGGCAAAAAAATTAATCACGATTAATTGTGRTATTTAGCCGATAACAATTAATTTGACGATTAATCCCCTGGAATCCCTTATGTCCTAGTCACACGACCAATTTAGTGGGAAAGATTAGCTCTTCATACAAATCTGTTCTAAATTGTCTCAAAATTACAGACTTAAGGCTATGCATCACATTTTAAATTGTGTTGRTAGATCAATAATTTACAGAACTTTTTTTAAAAATGTTCGTCATATTTGAAGCAGAGAGGAGCACCGAGCGGACTCTGCTTGCTGGCATTWATCGTATTAATCGTCAAGTGCCAAAAAGTAATYGATTAATGTTTTTCTGACGATTAATTGCAAACAATACGATTATGCCCAACCCTACACCCTCCTTGCCTGCTGGTGRTGTTCAAAGGGCTCGGTTGCATGCTGTTCCGCTCAATTCCAGTCTCCCTTCTCTGCTCCATCTGGGCTTTTTCCCACTGACAAGGATTTCTCTGGTAGAATCTCAAYCGGTCCAATCAGCAAACAGAAGGAGGAGTTGTGAACAATAAAACTGATTTTCTGCTCTGTTTTAGTCTGACTGTAGTTTAGCAATGGCAGCGGAGGAAATGAATGAAGCCATTCAGTTCATGTTGACAAGTCTTCCAAGTTAAACTCTTGCAAAGTCTGCAGCACTCGTTTGCAGCCATCTCGTTTGGTTCAGCACTCCTCTCTTCCCAGTAGGAGATGATTGTTTACAGCGCATGCTTTTCTGCTAAGCTTCTTAGCTTAGCTTCTTTCACAGACGAGTTGTCGCACTGCATACGTCATGGCCAAACATTAGCGATTGGGTGATATCAGATCCAGTCACTTTAAACTTCAACAGAGTCAACGCCTCCAACAAGAAATCGTTTCTAAATAGCCGAGAGTCCAAAGTGAAGAACAAGGGGCTGGTTTTTACCAGGCTAGGTTAATAACTGATGTGGTGTGAAGCACTTTGGAGTCCTTGGACTTGATAAAACTATCTATCTATCATTTACCATCAATAGATGTACACTGATAAATGGTTTATTTTTGGAGTCAGCCTGATTCAAGATGGCCGCCACATCTAATTTAGTTTAGCCAACACGATAATGGCTGGAACCTGGTCAAATTTATGGATATTGAGCTAAATTTGGTCTGTCAGTAGTTGATGGTGGTCTTCTTTGCATTTTCTGAGTGCTCCCACATTCCACGAGAGCTCAGTCTCTTGGGAAGGGTTTGTTTTTTTGCTATTCATCTTTGTACAGTTTGGACATCTCTAGGAGCTATAAGTTATTTATATCTTCCTGAGTGTATTAGGATAGTACTGTAGTGTTGTCTAAGTGTATATAATCTTCAAAATTAGATGTCTCTGCTATGTTTAGTTCACTCTACAGTTGACCAGTGGTGTTTGGTTTCTCCTAACTTCTGCTGTTTGAAATTGGGGAGAAATGACAATGAAGAGATGCAGACTTTTGCTGTGAATACTCAGGCTCCGTATTTATTTCCTGTCTTAGAGAAAAGGATTTCCTGACCTTCCTACAGGACAACAATCTCATAAAGTGTCTCCTGGAGCAGCTATAACTTTATAAAGTCATGCCATTCAAACAAAATATCTTTTGTCATTTTGTCTGTTTAATTTTTTTATAAAAGATTATTGAATTGACTCCTCACCCATTGTGTCTCATGTCCAAATCTAACAAACACTTTACATAAAGGCAGCAAATTCTGGACAATCAGAGGCAGGGAGAGAGACAGGCAGACAAGGCGTCACCATTACAGGGAAGGAAAAGGGGAAAATGGCAGCAGACTGCAGAATGTGGTTCACATCAGAAGTGAGGACACTCTGTGCTGAATAACAAAGAGATGGGGAGTCACGTGGACAGGCGAACAAGATGGCAGCTGGCTAACGGCTCTCCGTTCCCGACATGTAATTAGATGACTGTACTGTAGTAAGGGGCTTTTATTTGATACCGTTCTCAGCAAGTGAGGAAGTAGTTTAGGCTTGTGTGCTTCTTTTTCCGGGAAAAAGTACTTTAATCCTGCAATGGCCGCAACGAAACACTCAAAGAGTACAAGGCCGCATGTCGACCCGCAACAGCCCTCCACACGAGGAAGAACGGGAGGAAACACCTCCTCCTAATATAACGAATTTGTTCTCGGAAGTGGTTAAAATGAGTAACATGCTACAAAGCGTTGCTGCTGATGTCTCCACAATAAAGCAGACGACGTCGGAACTGAATGCAGCGGTGGCTGCAATGCAAGAAAGGCTAACGGAGGCTGAAACACGCATCTCCCGCTTGGAGGACACTTCGGAGCGGCTGCACACTGCAGTTGGTGAGAGAAGCAAGCTAATGGAAGCCATGCTGGACCGCATGCAAGCTCT